AAGACATTGTGCCATTTCTAAGCGTTCAGCAGATAAGATGTGAGGCGTCAGATATTTAGACATCATTTTATCAATTTCAGGAAAAAGATCCTTGCCAACTGATGTGATTCCCATACAATTCAATAGGTACGATATTTGAAAAAATGATTCCATTGCACCCCATTTTCAAGCTGTACATCAAGGACACTGACAAGTTCATATAAGGAACTGTTGTTTTTTAGCTCACGTTTAATAATATTATTAAAACTCTCAACACGAGAAGTAGTCTGTATTCCTGCAGTAAATATTTTTGATGTAAATGCGTGAGCCCACGCTTGTCAGCTAGGATAGAGGGCTTTTATCAAATAATCTTTTGCACTGGAGTATTTTTCGATAAGACTTGACCATCTTTCATAAAAAAGTTCTTCACACACACTATTACGGCATCTAAAAAATCACAAACAAAAATTATCGTATTGATCAGAAAGTTTGAATTTTAGGTTTTTTGGTAGATTTTCACTAATGTGAAAAATACAATAGATTGGATAAGCTGTTAAATATATTTGTCCGATTGCTGCATTTGCAGCGAGATCTGCATTAGTAACGAATACTAATAGTTCAGTTATCGTTGCCTTTTTTATATACTCTAAGATCCATTTATAGGAATCAGTTATTTCATCAGACACAAGAGCCTGTGCAACAAAATGTGACCTAGTATTGTTGCCAATGGCAAGGAAAAGTGAAAGTGGCATTTCATAACGATTGGTCTTAGTGGTATTATTATTCAAAATAACATTATGGTATTCCAACCAAATAGAAATCTGAGTTGGAGACATCCAAAAAAGTCGGATAAGCCTATTATCATTATCAAGCTGAAACTCGACAAACCATCTAAGATCATTTGATTTATGTTGAATGGGTGTTTTTAATAAATGAGATGCATCATGTGTTATGTCTGCTTTCTTATATTTTTGTATTGCATTAGCGAGATCACAATCAAAAATAGGTATAGTTGAAAATTTTGCTTTTAACAACTTTCGTTGAACGGTGATTGGTAGATTTCCATGTTCAGTGAGGAATTGGATTTCTTTGAGAACATCATCATCAGAGATGCTCTGATATATTAGTGAATACTCTTCAATATCAGGGAATAATGTATGGTTATGCAAATTGTTAAAGGTGGTAAGAACAATATTTTGAGAATTTTGGGAGCAATTGAAATTTGCATTCTATATACATTGTTGACGTTTTGATTTACGATCTCGATGTTTATTAATATTGATTTGTTTTTTTGGTTGATAATGGCCGCCAAATTCACATCCAAAACTACGATGCCTAATACTATCATCTTCATGATGAATTAACCGTTTCTTTATAATTGCAAATCCATGCTTTTTACCGTAAGCTTCCATAATAGCATCGATATTTTCCCATGTTCTAAAAACACAACCAACATAAAGATCCATAACTGGGATTAAATTAAAGTGATATATTAATATAATCTGGCTCTGATAAATAGACAAAACGAAAAAAACTAATAATCTCACCTTCATCTTCTGGGTTAAGAGATGTATTATTTTGAATGGATTCTTGGGTATGCAATTCATCAGACATATTCATCTTAATAATAATTGTTTTTTGTGAGTGAAGCAAGAAAGTGCTATGCAAAAAAATAACCACAACCCAAAAAAGTGACTACAATGCAAAGAAAGGCGAAGCGAGAAAGCTTTCTATCAGAAGTTTAAGCAAAAAATGCCGCAACACAAAAAAAGCGAAGCGAGAAGGTTTCTATTTGTGGTTTGATGACACTACGCAAAAAATGACTGCAACACAAAAAAAAAGCGAAGCGAGAAAGCTTCCTATATTGGGAGTTTGAGCAAAAAATGACCTTAATGCAAAAAAAGCGAAGAATGGCAATTCTATTGGGATTTGATTACTGCAATTCTGATTTTAGAGGTAAGAACCTTTACACCTTGCTCTCGCACAACTGTCTTAATTCTTTTTTTAGTTGCTGTCATCGTTACCGTCCAACCTCTGGGGTAAGTATCTTTATATGATACAATACGAATTTTTTCACAAGAAGCAAAAAAATTTTACTTTATCCAAGAAATGTCTGTTACACAAGCATTAATAGCGCGCCGCAGTTTTCGTGATACATAAATCTGCGTCACGTGATACAAACTGCGTCGCGCTGCGTCATATAACAATAACAATAACAGATACAGTTGGTGTAACGAACGTATTATATCACGTGATTTTTTTCGAAGTTGTTACAAATAAAAATGTATAACATGTTGTTACAAATAGATTTATTCTAAAAAAAATAACAAATGTCAAATTGATTAAATTATCAAATTATATTTTAGAAAACTATTGACACGACTCATCATGTATCTTAATATGATGAAATTAACAAGCGGTGTTTTTGTCTTGGATAGTAGATGGTACATACGCCAATATTGATGTAACACAACAATTTCATATGATGATCGTATTAAACTTTTTTCAGATATGCTGATCGAAATAAATATGTCTTTGTTATTAAAAAATAAAGGTGTTGATTGCAACAATAGTGGTCATTCAGATACGTAACGAAAGCCAAGCAATACATATTTAGGGCAACAAGACAAACCGACGTGATCTTCAAGCGAATTTTACAAGTACCAACAGCAGTTCGCCCAAAATAATTTCTTAGCAATTCTTTTTTAGACTTACTTCTTTTGTTGTTGGTTGACATATTGAAATAAGAAAAAAATGTTTTTCAGCCGCAGAAATTTCCTCGCGTTCGTTACCTAATAATTTAAAAATTAAAAAAAAAAAAAGAATTAAATAAATCTAAGCAAGCCACTAAATAGATAAATAAACAAAAAAGAGAAGGACGTTCTCGTTAGAGGCCACGAAGCGCTTCCAGTTCTCCCTCCATTTATTCACCTAAATAATGGGCAACTATAATAGAAAAACATTTGACCATAAAGATAGAACTATTTCCTTAAACGTTGCCAATTAAAGTAGATAAACAATTGACAATACAAATAGAGAAGGACGTTCTCGCACTTGGTTCGGAAGTAACTCACTAGACATATCAATTTTTGTATTGCAAAGGAAGACATAACTAATTCCTTCTTGAGAACTAGTAGACCTTTACCAAAAACTAACATGCTAAACTGACTACCTACTAGAGAGGAGGCCACGAAGAGCTTCCGGTTCTCTACCATACTGTTTTCAATTTACCTAAGTGAACCAACAATGACGCAAGTTTAATATACTAGTTCGTCCAAAATAATTTCTTACCTAAAGTAAAACAGTCAGTCCATTTTTATCTTGGGTTTTTGAAGTCGAAAGACATTTTAACTCACTTCAAGTTTATAGGGGGGAAAAAACAAAACAAAAAACAAGTATTAAGTGTGAAAAAAAAAAAATGAATTTGAAATACAAAAATGGAGTTTTTATAATCTTTCGAGTTACTCGTTTGGCACGTATGAAAAAAATAGTTTAACAAAAGTGACGCGCTATAAATATATTTACGTAACACAAAATTGGTAATAAACAAATCTACAAATTTCATTCGTCGATCAGGCGATATGCTTCGGACATGACTATTTTTAATTGGATATCTTTCAATTCAAGGCTATATGGAAATGATCTTCGAGGTCGCTTTTAGAAAGTGACTCTAATTCACGGTTTATAATCCAATGGGATTTGCCTGCGTCACTGCTAAACCGTCTTTCAAATTTTAATCGGACTGAACATTGGATTATGGATTTACGTAACCGCCATCTTTTGAGATATTGTTATAAATGTTGCAGAAATCCAAAATGAATAAAGACGTCATATCTACAACGCGTACAAGCCCAAAAATAAATTACAAAGATAAAATTGGCTATTATTTTAAAAATGTTTAATTCGTATAGAACCATTAATTTTTTTTAGCAATCAACAAAAAAAAACGTGATAAAAGATGGATGTACCACGTTTTTCTGAACAATGAAAATTATTATTCCTTATTCCGATTTAATCGGTTCATGAAATCTTTGCCCAACATTTGGGAGCAATCATAAATTTTACTATCATCATCATCTTTCTAATTAATACGAAATTGTCAAAGATAATATCTCTTAAGTTATTATGCATCAAATTTCTTTTAATTTTTGTGATCGACAAGTCCACCTTCCAAATTTGTTAAGTACTAATTTTATCCAACCTTTTCAAAAAAGAATTTATGAAATACTTCAATGGTCATTGGGCCGGTATTAGTATATTTTGATCAAATATCCAAATTTCAATTCCTTCTAGTCATTTTTGAAAATGAAAAGACTTCAACGAATTTTCGGACTGGGCACCAGATACTCCAACAGTGGATTACGCGGAAATGGTTTTATATTTCTTCTTTAGCTTTGCTTAAGGTAGGAAATCAAATCAGATGTCATAAAAATTTCTGGTTTTGCGTTGTTATTACTGGAATACTATTCATCACGCTAATAATTTTCATTTTTTGGTATTTGTTGTTAAAACACGGTTAGTTTTTATTTAATTTTTCCAAATATTATTCAACATCAATTTATACTTGTTAATTTATAAATTATTGATAGGACGTGCCGAAGCACCTGGAAGTTATGGGTTTGATGCTTGGTGAATTCGTGTACGTGTAATTGATGTATTTGCTATGCCTCAAAGTGGTAGTACAGGCGTTTCCGTAGAAGCGGTCGATCCCAGATATGTTGAAGCAAACTGGACGGTATGAATTGAAGTTTTTTAGTGTATGAATTATTGAGGTATATATCTGATTTCGATTAATGAATTTTATAGACCCGACCCGAAATGGTGGTTGGCTGGTATCACTCACCCTGTTTTTGATGTCGGCTGTCTAGTGTAGATATAAATACACAACAAAGTTTTGAGGCATTGAATCAAAGGGCTGTGACTGTTGTTGTTGATCCGATACAGTCTGTCAAAGGCAAAGATGTTATTGATGCTTTCGTCTGATCAATCCTCAAATGCTTATGCTAGGTCAAGAGCCACGTCAAACCACATCCAATATCGGACATCTTAATAAATTAAGTATTCAAGTGCGATCATTAATTTAAATCTGTTTTGATTTTAAAGTTTATATTCGTTAACTCTTTGATTTATCCATACTTAGGCTTTGATCCATGGATTGAATCGTCATTATTATTCGATTGCGATTAATTATCGAAAGAATTAATTAGAACAGAAAATGTTGCTCAATTTGCACAAAAAAATCGGACCCATGGATGACGCTGCCAACCTTTACGGAACACACCGAGATCAATGGAAAGAGTGTCAATGTAAAGATTTAGATTTACCTTTCCTTCCAAAGAAAATATTTTATTTTTTCGATCTGCGTATAAAAAAAATTTCAAACTTTCTTTTTTTAGTCGATGCTTACATTGGCGGAATCTTATAATAAATCGGTACAAGAGGAATCAACCATGACACCTGAACAATTGAAAACTCGATATGTTGGAAAACAGGTTCAAAAGCGTCATTTAGAGGAAAATTTGGAAGACATAATATTGGCACTAGGAATTATGATTGATTCAGACAGTTTCATAGATACAAATCAAAAAAATAAAATCCAGGGATAGCCATTATTAATTTACCAATTTTGTTGAAATGCAAACTTTTTGTATTTGAAAAAATCAATACTATTCTATTCAACTTTTTCAATTACGCTAGATTTTGAAATTTTAAAAAGTATAAATTACAGCATTTCATAAATCTCAATCCATGTTTAAATTTAAAATTGAACGGAAATGATCATTACCAGTAAAGTTGGTAGGCAAATTTATTAGCTGAAAGCCAATACGACAAATTTAACATATTTGGAAATAAAAAAGCATGCCTTTGTATAAATAAACATTTTTCAGTTTTTTTTTTTTTTATTTTTCACGCGATCAAATTTGCGGTTATCCTTTTTTTTCCTTTATAAAGAATCAAAAAAGCGGACAAGTTTTTGAGCACATCTTTCTCATAGTACCTTATACAAAATTATGACCAAGTTATAATGTTCTTTTCTTTTTCGTAGCCCTTTCACAAAAAAAAAAAAACTCTCATAATTAACCGCGCCCTCCTTTCTTTCTTTCAGCGAGAGACTATCTTCTAAAAAAACTTTATTCTTGCCGTAGCTGATATTTGGATTTCAAAGCTAAACCTGCTGGTAAGCTCTTTATTCTTTTTCTTTAATGTTTCCTCTCGTCATTTCGTGAAATATGGACGAATATTCTCCATTACAAAAAATATTTTTCCTTGATATTTACTCCTAAGCATCGCTGATATTTCGATCTATCTCATCTTTTACCTTCTACGTGACTATTTTTACTTAGATTCCATAATTAATTCCTTTTTCCACTTCTTTTTCTAGAATTTATTTTTAAATCGATGAAGATACCTGGAAATAACTATTTATTTTCGTGTTCCGATTTCTAACACTTCCTTCTTCCTTTTTCTCCCGATAAATAACAACTCATATTGACAAGACTAAAAAAAAAATTCAAATAAAATGTTCTGTACCTTATTAATGTTAATGTTCTTAATTTTATTAGTCAACAACGAAGAAATGGAAGCGGCAAAATTTGATTTTCATAACATTTTTTTTTATTAATTTTCTTCTTATTAAGGATGGGGGGAACAGATTTTAATTGTTTACAATTAAGAAGGATCGGTACAACTGCTCGTGAATGTAAGAGTCTGCGATTTCTGAAATAAGAATTGCTATGCATCTTCCCTTATGTTTATAAAACTATTTCACGGGTGGGTGCTCACGCAACCCGAGTCCTGTTGGATATCTCTCATCCTTGTAGTCGACCAAGCCGAGCAGTATTGGATACCCCATCCTTGGAACGAAGTCGATACTTGTAAGTTACTTATTTTATTTATTATATTTCTTTCTGATCTTTTAGCCTTGTCATATGAGTTGTTATATAAGTGTGCTCGTATAATTTAAAAAATTGCTAATAAAAATAAATAAAGTTTACCGTGATTTTTTAAAAAATTTTGTAATGTAATTATATAAATCAAGTTTCTATGAAATATTTTATTTATTCTTTTCAATACAGTTTTCATATAAGTTATTTAAATTATTGCGAAGAGGTCACATAATAAATAATTTACTGATATAACTTTTATTGAACTGCGTATATAAATATTGAAAGTTTACAAAGAATCTTTCACCAAAAATACATAGAAAATAAAAAAATTTATAATTTTATCTCTGTTCTTATTTAAGGAATTTGAATGACATTATTTTTTGTACTCAAAGTCGTTTCACTGGTTATTTTTTTAAAACAGCCGGTGACAAATATTTTATGATCACGTGATAATGAACGCAGGAAACTTCCCCAGTATCCCAACAAAATTTCACTTTCACGTGACATTTTGGCTCGCATTATGCAATTACATGTGATAATGCCAGATTTACCGGTGACAAATAATTGCGTGACAAATAGTATTTCACTACCGAAAAAAAATTCTCTGTCCCATGAAAAGTTGAGGGTGTGACGCAGGGTGACAAATATTTTTATAATGATCACGTGAAAGTGAAATTCTGTTGGGGATGCAGGTGAAGATCGCAGGGGAAGATAGTATTATATTAAATCATAAAGAATTGTGATACTACTATTGCATATAGTATACGCGACATGACGCGTAAATTTGATTCTCACTATGACGCAATCATAGATCGTTTATGTGATTATATAAACTCACCAATTTCCACTACACTTCATGATGCAAAAAATTTTTTAAAAATACAAAAAGATTCCGAGAGCCGTTCTTAATTCTACGTTTTTTCAAGTCAAGCTTTTTTAATCCTTAACCTATAGAATTTTCTCGTCTTTTATTTTTCTATAGAAAAAAATTGAACTTTACTTTTTTATTTATTTCTTTCGTTGACGTACTCTAATACCAGGTAAGATAAGACTGAGTAGAAGGCTGTTTGGGTCTACTGATACTGTAGAAGGGATCGGTTATGTATTGAATAGTCGAAGCAAAACTAGTTATCAGTATTTGTCGTATGTTTGTCGTTTTACGAAATGATGAGATGTTACCGATTTTTGCTGAGGCCTGCCTCAACAGAAGTGCAGGACAACTCGTTTGCGTGGATTACTGATCTTGTTCTTTATGAAGGGTGATCGTTTTAGTACGGCTTAGTTGAGGGAGTTGGCATATGACTATATTTTTTGTTTCTGTTTACTCACAATCGTTTAATTATTAATCCCTTTTCAATAGAGCTAATGATGGAAAGGCCAAAACATGAGCTAGCTAACCTTGAGTTGGCCCCGTTATTTGGAAACGATCGGTAAAATTTGATCGCGTGCCTGTGATTTTTTGGTGGTGGACGTTAAAAATTCATACTATAACGACGAAATTGTATGCGGAATATAGGAGAGGCAATTTTAATAAGTTATTCTCGTTTCCCCCCAATATTACTTTAACGATGCGATGTTATGAAATGTATTCGTATTATCGATCCCATAGAAGTGGTCGTGATCCTTGGGAGAAATCCATCCGTTTTATCGATCCATTGAAGTGGTTGCGATTACTGGAAGAAATTATAGTGCTATCGATCATTGGAAGAAATCCATCGGCTTTTATCGATCTCATAGAAATGATCGTGATTCTCGAAGAAATCCATCCGTTTTTCGATCCTGATGAAGCGGTCGTGATCCGTTCAAAGTGGAATGGGTTTGGCTAGTACCAGCGAATCTTTCTCAGTAGTAACTGTAATAAAAGATGTTTTATCCTCGACAAAAGATAAGAAGAATCGAATAATTTTTTTTTTAATTTATTTATTATGCCCCCAATCTTTTTATTTTTATTTTTATTTAATTTATATTTTTCCCGATCTTTTTATTAATTATTTGATTTTTTTTTATTCCCTCCGATCTTTTTAATTTTATTTTTTAATTTTTTTTAATTTTTTTTTTATCCCCTCCGATAAAATAATTTTATTAGAAATATTAAAATATAATATTTTTTATAATTTATTCAAAGTATTTGATATAAATCTTACTTTAGATATAAATCATTATAATAATAATAAAAAATAATATCTTTTTAATTTTTTAAATTTTTTTTTTATTATATTTTTTTTATCCCTTCTGATCTTTAAAAGTTAAAATTTAAATCAATAAAATTAAACTTTAACTTATAATGGAAATTATTTTTCGTAATTCTTTTAGCAGTTAAGAAATATTGACCATGAATTGCCAATTAGTTATTTATAAAACTAAAATGTTGAAATTAAATAATTCTAAGTTCAAAAATAACCAGTTTTGTTTAAGAAATTTTGCTTTGGAAAAGGAAGATGGCATTTTGAAATATTATGCGTGCCTGAAATATACCGTAACAATAAATATTTATTATTATTGTACTTTCAATACACTCTTTGGAAGTCGTGACCAATTGAATTTTGGAATTTTGAGACAAAACTGGTAAGTTAGATTAGTACATTATGTAGAGAATGCTTTAACTCATAGATTTAAGGTTTTTTATAGTCTATAAGGTCACAGTTCGATTTCCCGTCACAAATGTTCCTTTTCAGGAATCCATATTCCCGAAATCACCATGCCATTATCTCGAATCACGAATCCCTATTCCCGAATCCAGAATGTCGTTCTCTAATACCGATATTCTGAATGAAGGAGGTTTATATTTTCTTCGAATTATGAATGAGTTCGAGCCACTTCGCACGAATTTTATATAAAAAAATAGTCTGCATATATGTAATATTTAAACTATATTTCCGAGTTTTCAAGCGATATACAGTAAAGATTAAAGGTTAAGTTTGAATTGACTAATTCGACGCTTGTATATTTCATCGGTTGGCAGTACTAAAGTGGATTTTTGAGACATTATTATCCTGGCTCGATTTTTTAACGTATTTATGGTAATTTTCTTCCCATACTTTAAATTTGGCTGGATATTTTTTGACCATAAGTGACATTTTGGCATTATTACTTATGTTAATAATTTGTTAGCCTTAAATATAATAACACATAGAATTCTAAGTTTCCTTATTTATTGTATGTCTGGCATTGTAATTTGTTAAAAGAAAAGTGAAACTTTTTGATAGTTTCAGGGTATAATTATGTTATTGGTACGCCAATATTTTATAAAAAATTTTTATGAAAGAGATCGAATAAATAAGTAAGTTAATAAAATTACTGAAAATAATCTTCCGGGCTGGGCGGGCCGGAATTTTTGATTCTTGGCTTAAAGTGCAGTGCTTCAAAATTTGGACTATGCAGGCCTCTATTCCAGACATTGAAAGTAAAATATAACAGAGACGAATTACAAAAAGGCCAAAATCTAATCACGAACTAACTGGGTCTGAAATTATTTTGTTATACAGGAAGTATTCATTCTCAAAGTTATTGATGATGTAATTAAGTTGAGAAATAAAATTCTATTCTTCATACAGGATCAACTGGAATTAATTAATTAACAAACGTCTTAAAAAATATTCACCTACTTCACCTATCAAAAAAAAAATATCTTTTGATTTTAAAGTAAATTTTTTATAGATAATTTAGTCTAATTACAAGCGGGGTAATACCCATTAAGGAATCGGATAAACAGATATTGAAATTCTGACGGGTTGCAGTTCTATTTTACTTAACAGTATTATTGTAATAGTTATTTGTTTTATATATGATTGTAACATATAAAGGATCTAAAATTTTTAATTTGTAATTATGGAATTTTTCAAATGATTTGTAATACACAAAAAAAAAAAATTTTTCTATGGAGATAATCTTTGATCTGAAGGTATTATAAAACGAATGGCGCTCAAACCCTCCCGAAGGTACATAATCACGAATTCTAAATTCCGAAAAAGTATCATCTCGTAATTACGTTAGCCCTTACGTCTGCAAATTTATTTTGTTTTAATATATAGAAACGTATTACATTTATATTATAAAAAGAAATAAAAATTTATTGTGGTTCATCAATTTTGACAATTTTAAGTGATATTCGGACTTAATTTAGCTGCTCTTTGTACTGTGCATCAAATGAACAATTTCATTTTAATGCTACGCCCTTTAAAAAATCCCGCAATGAAAATCCTATGGAGATTACCGAGCAAAGAATGACTATATCCCATTCAAAAGCAGAGTTGACATATGACGTGGTTATATCAAAATTTTTATGACTTTAAAGTCATATGTCACATGGAAGTTTGCTAGGAAAATCAGGCTCTGGGAATTTTCTAACAAAAATTTTGATTTATTGAATTTTAATTTTTGATGCTATTAGATTAAAATGTAATAAGGTCTAAATTTTAGTAAAAAAATTCTCAGCCTGACCTGATTTTCCTAGAAAACTTCCATATGACTATAGGTTAACTAACCGGAATTATAAGTAAAATAAAAAATCGTCTTCTTTGGTAGACTTGAACGTTACATTTGTAACTAAATTCCCTTTATGGATATGATTTCATTAATATTTCCGGCAAAATATAATGCCGGCCTAATTTAAGGAATATTTGACAAAGTCATAAGTCATGACAAATGGCTTATGACAAGTCATGTAAGTCATATAAGTCATATGATGTGAACGTTCTTTCACATGAAATTTTTTATTGTAAATTAAAATAATTTAAAATGGAAATTCAAAAAAAAAAAATGAGAATAGTATAGCTTATATTTTTTTATCCGTCGTTTTATTTAAATTGTACTTTTATTCTTTTGTTTTTTTCTTTGTTGCTTTTTTTACTACTTGTTATATAATGATAAATATCTTAAATTTTTTTTCAAAAAACCAAAACAAAAAAATAAAGCTGTCAAATTGGATCATTGATTTTTTTTTTAATGAATGATTACACAATCATGAATCTTCCAAGAATCAATCTAATTATAATTTTTCTCCTTAGTTTGTTGTTTTTCATTACTCAAATGGTCTATGTAATGATATATCAACGATTTAAAGTTGAAAAATGACGGAAGTATCACAGACTACCCCACACTCTACCACATGGGCGAAGGAAATATCTATTTCAGGCTGGCAAAGTACATGCACATTGCTTACTTTTTTTTCGTTTTTAATGTCTTAATGTACTGATATATGAAAATCCTTAGTATGCTTTGCGGATCGTCATCTCTCGGGATTCATGTGATGAAAATCCATTAACGTTCGATTGGCGCACACTTATTAACGACAGTGTGAACAATGAAATAATCATCGGCAAAGACGTTGTAAACAACACCATATTCCGTATTCAAGCAAAAATTCAAGGTTTTAACAATATTAGTTGTTCTACACCTTCTTTCAGCGGTCAAATTTGCTATCCTCCAATTCCTGAAAATGCTTCACCTCCTCCACCTACACCACCTCCGAAGCCTAGATGTGATGAAGCTTGTGGTTTAATTATTGCAGGTGCTTTAGGATGTGTTTCAACTATCATAGCTGCAATATTAGGATTTTATAAAGGATCCCATGATAAACCTTAAACATTTTCAAACTTTAATAAACAATGACTATCAAATAACTTCCCGAATTTATCCATTACCCGGATTTTTCGCCAAATTGATTTGACAATGTTATTACATATTACATGGCTCACGTAAATAATT